TTATATGTGATTTGTTTCTTTTCTCTTACTGCTTGTAGTATTTTGTTCTTCTGTTGGGTTTCTGGGATCTTGATTATTATATGTCTAGGTGTAGATTTTTTTTATTGCAGCTAGTTGGGGTCCTACATGCCTCAGTTATCTGAATGTCAAATTCTTCCCCTCTGTTTGGGAAGTTTTCTGTCATTAATTCTGTGAACAGCTTTTTAAAGTCATTTGTATTTTCTCCTGCTACTTCATGTATTCCTATCAGTCTTATGTTATTCTTCTTTGCATCATCTAGGAGTTGTTGGATCGATTTCTCATGATCCCTAACTGTTTTTAAGAGACCTCTCTTTTCATGATCACTGATTGCAATCTTATCTTCTATATCTGAGAGTCTATCTTTACATTCTTTTATTCTGTTGCGTACACTTTCTATGGAGTGTTTAATCTCCTGGATATCTGTTTGAATCTGTTTTATGGATTCCATTTCTTTCCTATGTTGGGCATTTATTGTTTGCATTTCTTTCTTATGCTGGGCCTTCATGGCTTCTATCATGGTCCTGAGCTCATCTATTTTTTTGTCAATTTCTGTTTTGGTTTTTTTTTTGAGACAGAGTCTCACTGTGTAATTGAGGCTGCCCTGGAATTCACTATGTAGCCCAGGCTGGTCTCACAGTGATCCTCCTGCCTCAGCCTCCCAAGTGCTGGGATTACAGGTGTGTGCCACCACACCCGGCTTTTGTTTGCTTCTTTGAGACAGGATCTCACTATGCAGTTCAGGCTGGTTTTGAACTCATGGTGTTCTTCCTGCCTCAGCCTCCAGAGTGTTGGGTTAACAGGTGTGTGCCACCACATCTAGCTGACTTTACTATGATTTCCATGAACTGGGTGGGATGGTGTGGGCCTGTAGTTTAAGTTACTGGGAGGCTGAGGCAGGAGGATCACTGACCCCAGAAGTTCGAAGCCAGCCTGGCCAACCATGTTGGCCGTTTCACCATCTGTCGGTGAGCAAGGTGAGAGCTGCATTCCCTGGTGGGAGGCTTGTGCCAGGCCACTCCCCAGCTTGCTGAGACTCCCAGGGGTTTCTGGCACACACAGCAGCTCGCGTCATATCCTTCCTCTTGACGTAGGCACCTCCAGCAGCGCGACCTGACTCCCCATCACCTTGGCTGTGTCAAACAGGCACAACTATCTTACCTCAGTGTCTCCAGCACTGGCAATAGCCCTGACCACACCCTTCAGGCAGACACCTTTCAGCTCACACAAGCCTATTTTCACTGCTGCTAGCATGCTGTTCAAGAGAGCATTTTTGTTGTTGCTGTTGTTTGTGACAGGGTCTCACTGTGTAGCCCAGGCTGGCCTTGAACTTGTGGCGATCCTCTTGCCTCAGCTTCTCACATGCTGTAATTACAGGTGTGAGCTAACACCCAGCCAAGAAAGTGTTTCTAACTTACTCTCTTTAGCCCTCAGGGAACCCTAGCCACATGCTGAAATAATGAAGTCTTTCTAGGGAAAACTAGCTGGAGGATGAGTGGAATAGTTGTAATAAAATCTTGAAAAGAAAAAACAAAGACAAAAAGAACAAAATCTTGCAACTGGCATCCAGTCCCACTTCTCTGCTATGGGCACAGCTGCTGGTGCAAAATGTAAAACCAACCCAAAGCAGTCTTTCCTGGTGACCCCACGCCTTTTCATAACAGACTTCTGAAGAATTTCCATTTGTAACCAGATGTAGTGTTGCACACCTGTAAACCCAACTAGTCAGGAGGCAGAGGCAGAGGCAGAAGGATCAACACTTCAAGGCCAAGTTGGGCAACTTAGTGAGAATCTGCCTCAGTTTTATTTTCTGGGGCGACTGTATGGCACCACTCACACACGCGTGCGCACACACACACACACACACATGCACACATACCCTCAGGAGGGTTTTGGCTTAGAGGAGCTCATGGCGGAACTTTCTTTGGCTGTCCAGGTTCTCCTGAGACCGTCCACCTCCACTCCTAAGCGTGAGCCAATGAGACAAAAGTTGTACCACAAGATAAAGTAGTGACAAGATCAGTGTCCCATCCTTCCGACTGGCTCCCTGGCCTTGTCTCCAAACAAGGTTGGTGACAACATTGCCACATCAGTGGGAGACGTTCAGAGCAGATAGGCCCAGTGCAGAGGCGCCGCCCTTGCTTCCCTGGCCCACAGAGTCTGTGAGGAACTACCAGGAGAGAAACAGAACAATTAAACAAACATGGGGCATGGTGGTGCACGCCTGTGATCCCAGCACTAGGGAGGCTGAGGCAGGAGGATTGCTGTGAGTTCGAGACCAGCCTGGGCTACACAGTGAGTTCCAGGTCAGTCTCAACTCCATAGTGAGACCTGTCTCAAAAAAACAAACAAACAAACAAACAAAGAACAATTAAACACAGTGGCAGCGCTGTCTGTGGGGGCTGAACCCAGGTCTTTGCCCATACCAGGCCAGTGGCCCCCAGGATCTGGTGCGTTGCCCAGACTGGCCTGTCACTCCCAGTCTTCCTGCCTCAGCCTCACCTGGGGTTATAGGTGTGCACCTCTCCGTGTGGCTAAATGTCACTTTTGATGAGACTGCATGGCTCAACGGACGTGGCACCAGTCTGTAGCAGAGAACTGTGAGGCCCGAGAGCAGGCAGGGTGGTGGGTGTCACCAAGCGGCAGCACAGATGGCATCAGTAGTGGGTAGCAGATGGGCCACCAGCAGTGGGCCATGAAAGAAAGGATTCCCACGAAGGCTCCCTTGGCCAGCAGGACACACATACACACATCCAAACATGCGTGTGCCTGCTGCACTTGCGTGTCCCTGTGCTGCCGCTCTGTCCTGGGCACTTGGTCCCGTAGATGCTGCCCTGCTGCCTGGTCAGAGCACTTCAGGGTCAGCAGCAGGGAACAGTGACGCTGTAGAGCTCTGGTGCTGGATTTTCAGCAGTACTGACTTCAGCAAACTTGTCAGTGAACGTTGCTGTCTCATGGTCAATATCCCAACCAATATCCCACCAACCCAGGCCCTTAACGCTGCACTTTGGCCACAATGGGAGGCGCGCAGGTCTGTATGCCTGTCCCTGCACTGGTCCCCACCGCACTTTCTCACAGTGCACACCTTATGCATGGCTCAGAGTGGCCCTGACAGCTGAGTCTGTCTTCTGGGCTTCCTTCCGCCCCAGCTCTGCCTCTACCACCGTGCCCCAAAGGCCCAGCACTCCACCCACCTGGGTCCCTCCCATCCCACCAGGTGGTGCAGGCCACAGCTCTGTCCACCTAAGTGGAAATACCAACATTAAGCTCATGTCTGGAAGGACTTGACTTCCTTAGTAATTAAGGAAATGCAGGTTAAAGACTGTGTGTAGCATGTTCCTGATTAACAGCTATTAAACCAAACAAAAATACCTAACGCTGGTCAAAGCTCGGGGGGACAGGTATATTCACACCTGGCTAGTGGCCAGGTAAGCTTCAAAAAACACACTTACATAATACTTAGCAAGAGCCAACTGATTTTGACCTGTGTGTTTGCCTAAGAATTTAAATCAGTGAAAAAAATGTTGGCAGAGTACCGGGGATCAAACATGGGCCCTTGCATTTACAAGGTAGGCAGTGGAACCACTGAGCCAAATCTGCGGCCCAAATCAATGAAATTTAAAAAAAAAATCTGCATGTATTCAAGGAAAGGAGAATTATTATTATTTTCTTTCTTTTCTTTTTTTTTTTTTTTTGCAGTACCGGGGATTGAACTCAGGACCTTGCCCTTGTGAGGCAGGCAGCAGCACTACTGAGCTAAATCCCCAGCCAAAGGTGAATTTTTTTTAAATAATAGAGAACTGAAATAGATCTACTAAGTGATTGTATTTATTTACTTATTTTTAGGGTTTTTTATTAAGTTTATTGGTACATTTTAGGTATACATAATGATCACACTATCACACTTGTTACTGGGAATTTGTACCTGTACATGATATATTTTGGTTCTTTTTTTTTTTTTTCTCTCTCTACCAGGGATTGAACTCAGGACCTTGAGATTGTGAGGCAGGTGGCTGCACCACTGAGCTATATTTTTTCTCATTCCCCTTCCTTCCCTTCAACTCCTCTATACCTCCCTTTTTATATAAGCTTTATTTCCATTTTTTTCTTCTTTTTTCATTTTTTTCTTTCCCCTTTCCTCATTTTTGGTTTTTGAGACAGTCTTGCTGTGTAGTTCAGGCTGGCCTTGAACTCACTATGCAGCCCAACCCTTGCTGTGATCCTCCTGCCTCAGCCTCCAGAGTGTTGGGTTTGGGTGTGCCCCACCACGCCTGGTCCAGGAGCACAGATTTCATAAAAGAACAACTGATTCCGCTGCCTGCTAGGACTGAGTGATCCCATGTCTCGCCGCTGCCAGGCAGGCTCTCTCCCACAGGACCCCATCCCCACCCAGATGCCCTCATTTTTATAAACCAAACATCTGCAGCTCCATAAACCTGTTCTGGAGTTCTGTATGACTTACATGAGAGGTTTTTGTGTGTGGCAATAAAATATATTTAAATTACTGTAGCTTTACAGGTTGCTTTGATATCTAATAGGACTTACTCCTCCATTATGCTATTTGTTTATTTATTTGTTTGTTTGTTTATTTTTGGTGCCAGGGATTGAACTCGAGTCTTTGTGCTTGTGAGGCAGGCAGCAGAACCATTGAGCTAAATTCCCGGCCCCTCCATTGTGCTTTTTAAAAATTTCCTTTGTTCTCCTTAAAAATCTACCCAGCTAGGGCTGGGAAATTAGCCCAGTGGTTCCACCTGCTCATAAGCGCAAGGTACCGAGTTCAATCCTGCATACCAAAAAAAAAAATCTACCTAACCACATAAACTTTGAGATCAGTCCACTTCCATATACACCTTGAGCATCCTTAATTCAAAAACCCCAAATCCATCTGTATGTGGTGGTCATGCCTATAATCCTAGCACCCTGGGAGGCTGAGTCAGGAGGATTGAAAGCTTGAGCCCATCCTTGGCATTTTAGTAACTTAATGAGACCCTGTGTTTAAAAAAAGAGAGAGAGAGAGAGAGAGAGAGAGAAAAGGGCTGGGGAATGTAACTCAGTGCAAAGGCCTCCAGTTCTATCCCCAATACAAGAACAACAAAAAAAATCCAATATGTTCCAAAATCTAAAACTTTCTGATGATCACCAATATGCAATCACAAATAGAAAACCTCTCAGTGGATCATGGTCAGAAGGCAGGCACACTGCACACAGTTTTTTTCATAAGGGAATAAAGACTCTCTCCCAGTGTACATTTCCCCATGAAGACCTAGACGCCCCAGCACCCCACACATGGGGTGACAGCTGCATCCAGGCCCCATGGGGGACCAAGACCTATATTATATTCTGCTTTTGGTTTTGTTTGTTTTGGTTTATGCTCAGCTCTGTGGTTTACAGACATGGCTGAAAATGTGCAAAGACCCAAAGACACTCCTGTGGGTAGGAGTGACTGCAACTAGGAAGCATTTATGCCCGGGAAGTCCAGCTGTTGGAAGGACTGGGTAGCGCTGCCAGTGTGAACAATCACAAGCCGGGTGTGGTGGCACACGCCTGCGATTCCAGCATTCGGGAGGCTGAGGCAGGAGGATCGCAGTGAGTCTGAGGCCACCCAGGCTACACAGTGAGTTAAGGTCAGCCTTAACTGGAGAGTGAGATTCTGTCCCTAAGTAAATAAGCCATGCTCCTGTAGGGTGTGGTGTTGGCATGAACAGTCTGTGAGTAAAACAGGATAAAGTAACAATGTTCTATGCTGAGAGTGATGAACAGAAACTAATGAGAAACATGCAAATGCTCTGGGCTAAAGCTAAAGATGAAGATCTCCGCAGATACTGCAGGAGCGGACCTTCAGGGTCGCAGTGAATGTGTGCCGCTTACTGCTGCTCTGGCCATGAGGGCCGTCTGCCACAGGGAACAGTGCCCTGAGAGAAGCAGAATATCCAACAGACAGATTGGAGACATTTAAGAAAAGATGCACAGATGTTTTAAAATTTGGGGTTATTTTAAATTTGGTGGTAAATGGGGAGAGAGGCTGGGCTGAGAGCATGCAGACACGGTGGGCGGGCCGCTACTTGGCACCAACAAATATGAGGGGTTATTACTCTGTAAACTGCCGAAGCCGCCATCTGAGTGTTGCTCCTGTCACCTGTGGCCATCACTTCTCTACAGTGTGGTTTTAGGAATGCTGAGAGGAAAACCTTTTGGCAACAGAAGAGAAGCTGAAAATGCTTATCCTGGAGAGACGGTGCCACCCATGCAGTCACTGGTGCCACGCTCAGTGCCAAGCACTTGGTACATCCTGGCAGCACCAAGAGGATGGTGTTGAGCAAAGAGACAGATCCCTGCTTCCAGAGAGCCCAGGCTCTCACTGAAGGGCAGAGCTGCCAGCCTACAGAGCAGTTTATGTAGATAGGGACCAGGTCAAGGGACCAGAGGTGAGCACAGGTTAGAGGACCAGAGGTGAGAGGTTTCCCCTAGGGCAGTGGTAGGAACCAGAGGCCCCTGTGCTGCAGCAGATTGTTTGTATCATTGGAAGCTGTAAAAGCTTCACCATCCCTGCCCTAGGAAATAACTTCTGGATCTTTTCTTTCTTTCTCTCTTCCACACACACCTCCCCCAAGCCTCATCATTAATTTCATAGGAAAGGAAGGGCAAATTACCTTCTTTTGAGAGAAAGTCGAGGCTGAATGCACTTTTCTCTGTGTGTGTTTGTAACCCTCCTATAAAGATTCACCTTGGCTAGACGTGGTGGTGCACTCCTGTAGTCCCAGCACTCAGGAGGCTGAGGCAGGAGCACTGCTTTGAGTTCAAGGCCAGCCTGGGCTACATAGCAAGACCCGGTCTCAAAAATCAAAACAAAACAAAACAACAAAAGATTCACCCTGACATTTCCACAGGTCAAATCCACAATATCTCGTGGTTATTGTCTGACTGATCCTGATCCTGCCAGACAGGCAAGTGTAACTATTTGCATTGTGCTGAAGAATGTATGCCTGAGAAGTTGGATACGTTTCCTAAAGCCACATGGCTTGCTAATGTTAGAGCTGGGACTTGAACTCAGTCTCCTAACACTGAGGCAACTGCCAAGGTTTGGGTATTGTTTGCTGTGCCCTCTAAAGAGTCCAGTGCTGGAATTGTGGTCCCCAAGTTTACAGTAGGGCTGTTAAGGCAGCGCCACACTCAGAAGGCCGAATGAGAGTGAGCTGTTCCAAAAGAGTGGTCCTGACTCCTTCCCATTTCCCTGCTGGCTCTCTTACGACGTGATTGCCACAGAGGATCCGGGTCATGCGTGGCCAGTCAGTCCCTGGACTTTCTGTCTGCAAATCTGTGAGCTCAGTAAGCCTCTTTATTTATAAGATACTTACACACACGGTATTTTGTTATAGAAACACACTAAGACAATGGTTGTTATTATTCTAACGCTTAATCTTTCACCTATTCACCCATCAAAAATACACTGATTACCTTTTGAGTGTCAGGCCATGTATGAAGCAATCAGGAGCCACTGCCAGATTTTAAGCAGGAAACAATGTGATATACAATGGAGGTTTTTGTTTGTTTGTTTGTTTTGTTTTGGGGGGGTACTGGGGATTGAACTCGGCTCCTTGTGCTTGCAAGGCAGGCCACCGAACTGCTGAGCTAAATCCCCGGCCCCTACAATGCAGGTTTTAGACAGAACCATCTTTCCTGGACAAGAGGACAGAAAGTGTTGGTTTCCTAAGTATGGTCTGGGATTCCCTATGGAGCCAGGATCACCGTGGTTTGGGCTCAGAAATTTCATAATCAGATAGGAAATTTGTTTTTCTGATTCCAGTACAGTAAAGAGAGATGGGGCCAGGGGTTTAGCTCAGTGGTGCTGCTGCCTGCCTCACAAGTGCAAAGTCCTTAGTTAAATCCCTGGTACCCCCCCAATAAATAAATGAATAAATAAACAAACAAACAAACAAATAAATAAATAAAATAGAGAGAGGCACTGTGTTACAGATGTGGTGGGACGATCTGAGTCTGACCTTGGGTGGCTGCAGTAACCAGGTGAGAGGTGATCAGAGACAAAGGCTACACACTGGGGCCCTTCTGGTGGTATGGACAGGACTCCCAGTCCATCTTTCCTTAAACAGTGCTCTGCTGAGGTTCAGAAAGTGGAGCCAGGCTGGTGTGGTGGCCCATGCCTGTAGTCTGAGCATTCAGGAGGTCGAGGCAGGAGGATCGATGCAAGTTCAAGGCCAGCCTGGGCTACTGAGCAAGACCCTGTCTCAAAAAAAAAAAAAGGAGCCAGGGCAATTTCCGTCTGGATCCTCTGTCTACACACAGACACTTATACACATACCTGGATTTTAAGCATTTTATATTTATTTTCCTGAGCATGTATCTTGCAATTTTCCATTGCCTTGTAGTTCTCCTTTTCTTTGGGAAAGCCTAGGTCAGAAATAAGGGGCAGCCAGGTAAGGTCTTAAACCTTTATGTTTCTTTCTTTGGGACTGGATACACAGACCACAAAGGATATGCAAGGACCAACCAGTGAGAGAAAACTGCAGGGTACGGGGAGACACCTCTGCTCCTTATGCCCTGGGGCCTCCAGGAAATCTGCAGGCAGTAATTCCAGAGGCCCAGGGAGTGGTGACCCCATTTCTGCTCCAAGGTTAACACTGCGTGAGGAAACTGTAAAGAAACCACAGCAGCCTCAACAGCCGCCTCCCCAAACATCAACAACCTTCGCAGTAAAATGCAGTAGGACGCTCTCCCACTCGGCCCACGTCGGAGGAGGAAGGGCTGCTGGAGGGGCTCCAGCCGTCGCCCGGCTCCCCCGCGCAGGCCGTTTCCCAGCACCGCAGGGAGCCCCGAAAGTGACTTCCCACCTCGGGGCGGGGGCATCCGAGGCCAAGGACACCGTCACCTTCTCACTGCCACGCAAGGCAGGATGGCAGCGAGCAGAGGAAAAAGCTCAAGAGGCAGTCGAAGGCAGGGTAGGACTTCCCCAGC